AACATCATCACCATCATCATCATCATCATCATCATCATCATCATCCGCATTATCATCATCATCGTCGTCATCGTCGTCATTGCCGTCAACATGATCATCATCGTCATGATCAGCATCAACAACATTAGCAGCAGCAACATCATCATCACCATCATCACCATGAGCGTTACCATCATCATCATCACCATCATCATCAGCATCACTATCATCAGCATCATCATCATCGTCATCCTCATCATCATCGTCATCATCATCAGCATCGTCATCCTCATAATCATCATCATCAGCATCATGATCAGTATCATCATCATCAACATCATCATATTATTCTTCTTCACCATCCCCATTCCCATCCCCGTCGTCCTCATAATTCATATCATCTTCATTACGGTGCCACACACGACGGCCTCTGGCACCCCCTGGAAGGGTGGGCACCCAGAATGCTGGGCCGCGGGGCTGTCAGACGTATCCCTGGCGCTCTACAAGGCGTCCAGGATGCCCACTCCAAGACATTTCCCCAACACTGCGTCAAAACGGGTCGCGATACAGCAGGACCCGATGAGGCCAAACACCATGTTGTTCGAAGGTGTTGATGGATTGTTTCGCATTCGCACCTTTTCGGACCATTTTCAGCTACAGACGGCCCAAGAAATTTCAAAGATAGTCCAAAGCGGATTCAAGACGGCCGAAGATAGCTCAGAACGCATCCATAGCGCTCCAAGACGGCCCAAGAGGAACTCCCAGGCTGCCCAGGACGGCCCGCATAAGTAGCGCTCCAATCTGGTCCCAGGAGACCTCTGGGCAAAACCCCTCGACGGCCCAAAACGGCCCCAAGACAGACCCACAACGGGCCCAAAAGACCCCTCAGGCGGCCCAGAGACTCCCAAGACGGTCCGAAAGAGCCTCGAGACGTCCGAAAAGAAAGCCCAATAATGGCTCACAGAACCAAGGACAGCGCCAGAACACGTCGAATGAGGCTATAAGACCTCCTCGAAAAGTGAAACAAAGGCGTCACATGTGACGGCCTTTGCTCTTCATCATCATCCTGGTCATCAACCTCACCATCACCACCACAAGCTTTATCAACATCACGTTCATCCATCCCGTTCGCCGAAGTCCTCTGCCCCTGGTCTCCTCATCATCAGCTTCGTGCCTATGATTCCTCCTCATCGTCCCCATTCCCTTACTATTCGTCCTGATCCGCCGCCACATGCCCCCCTCCCGCGTCCTCCTTATCCCAGAAGCCCTGGGCACGCGCCGTACCACGACCTGGAAAGAACAACCCTTCCCCCTGGGCACGCACCGAAACACGACCCTGGGTGCGCGCCGTAACACGACCCGTCACACACTCTGATCCTCCTAGACCAGCGGAGAAACACGACCCATAAAAAACGGCCCTGCCCCCTGGATGAGCGCCACAGCACGACCTGGAAGGACCAGCCCTTCCCCCCAGATGCGCGCCGAAACACGACCCGTCAAACCGGCGGCGAAGCACGACCTGGAAGGAACAGGCGTTCCCCCTGGATACGCGCCGTAGCGGCGAAGCACGACCTCGGAGGAGCAATCCTTCCCCCTGGATACGCGCCGAAACGCGATTTCTGCTAAGCTCGACTGGGAGGGAACAGACATTGCCCCTGGATGCGCGCCGTAGCACGGCCTGGAAGGAACAGCCCTTCCTCCTGGATGCGCGCCGAAACACGACCCGTCACATACTCTGATCCTCCTCTGGACCCGCTGCGAAGCACGGCCTAGAAAGAACAGCACTTCCCCCTGGATACGCGCCGCAGCACGACCCAGAAGGAGCAGCCCTTCCGCCTGGACACCCGCCGAAACACGACGCGTCACATACTCTGGTCCTCTTCTGGGCCCGTGGGCACGCACGTTCCCCCCAGATACGCGCCGTAGCACGACCAGGAAGGAACAGCCCTTCCCCCTGGGCACGCGCCGAAACACGACCCGTCACATGCTCTGATCCATCCATGGACCCGCGACGAAGCACGACCCGGAAGGGAACAGACCTTCCCCCTGGATACGCGACGTAGCACGACCCAGGGGGGCAGCCTTTCCCCCTGGACGCAAGCCGAAACACGACCCGTCACATACTCTGATCCTTCTCCGGACCCGCGGCGAAGCATGACCTGGAGGGAACAGTCCTTCCCGATGGATACGCACGGTAGCACGACCTGGAGGGAAACAGATGTGAGCGGGAGCTTGAGGACACCAGCGGACAAACAACGGGCATCCACAATGGAACCCGTGAAGGAACGATGAGAACCGGCATCGGACATCGGACAGAGCAGCAAACACACCCATTTGCCTCGGCACGCTGGGCCGCGAAGCTGGTGGTCACAGAAACTGTGACCGAGATCCTGGCCTCCGGGAAGGGTCCAGTGTCAAAAACTGGCCGGGATGCCCCCTAGCGTCACAGCAGCTGCACAAGTGACTCGGCCACGTCAACCAACGAAGAAGGAGGAGGAGGAGGAGGAGCAGGAGGAGGAGGAGAAGGAGCAGGAGGAGGAGGAGCAGGAGGAGAAGGAGAAGGAGGAGGAGCAGGAGGAGGAGGAGGAGGAGACGGAGCAGGAGGAGGAGGACGAGGAGCAGGACGAGGAGGAGGAGGAGAAGAAGGAGCAGGAGGAGGAGGACGAGGAGCAGCAGGAGGAGGAGGAGCAGGAGGAGGAGGAGGAGCAGGAGGAGGAGGAGCAGGAGGAACAGGAGGAGTAGGAGGAGGAGCAGGAGGAGCAGGAGCAGCAGGAGGAGGAGCAGGAGCAGGAGCAGGAGGAGAAGGCGTGCGCCAGGAGCGGCCTCGGACTGCGCCGCGGCGACTGGCCTGGGGCGCGCGCCTGCTCGGAGCACGCAGGTGCGCGGCGGAGCCAAAAAAAGAAAGACGTGCGCGACGGGAAGCGTCCGGCGGATGGGACCCCGCTGCAGTGGAGGCCAGTCTACAAGACTCACTGTCTGCCTTCTGGGCACACTGCCTGGGCCCGCCCTGGAAGCAGAAGCACACGCTGAGTGTGCCACCTGGGCGGGGACTCTGGGTCGGCCCCTCGAGCAGGGACCCTGGGCTTGCCACTCGGGCCAGGTCCGTGCAACCTCGTCTTCGCCACTCGAGCAGGACACACGAGCTGAGTGTGCCACCGGGGCAGGGACGCTTGGCCTGCCACTCCTGCCGGGACCCTGGGCTTGCCACTCGGGCAGGCACCCTAAAACGCCCGGCTCCCACACTCGAGCAGAGGCGCGAGTGGAGTGCACCACTCGGCCGGGGGCTCTGGACTTGCCGCTCGAGCAAGGGCCCGGGGCTTGCCCCTCGGGCATGGACCCTACAGTGGAGGCCAGTCCACAAGCAACCTCCCACGAGAAGCCCAACCCTGAGACCCCAGGACGTCCACTGATGCCTGGTGCGGGAGCGTCACGCTTGCCATAGCAGAACCATCGAAACACAAGAGACCCAGAGCACCCTGAAGGCAAGCAGGGCGTTTCCTGGCTCGGGTCTCCACCGCACAGCCCTTGCTCCGCCACTCGATCAGAAGCGCGCAGGCCGAGCGTGCCGCTTAGGCAAAGCTGAGCCCTGGGCCTGCCACCGGAGCAGGACTCGCCTGCGGTGGCGAGAGCGGCGGCCACCGCGGCTTCCCTTCCCGCGGACGGCCTCTCCGGCCGACGAGGAGGGGCACACGAGCCCCCTCGGGAGCAAGTGCCAACAGTTGCTGCCCCGCCTCGGGCTCGGGCGGCAACACTTGCAGACCCCGGCTGCGACGTCCGCCCAGCCTGGAGACACGAGGCGTCGCACGTGGCGGCCTCCCGTGCCCCCGCGAACAGTCGCCACCCGGAATGCTGGGCTGGCACGGTGGCGGGACTTGCCGCAGGCAGCTGAGTATGCATGCACACAGACAGACGTCGGCTGGAAGAAGTGAATAGAAACATGAGGTAAGAAATTGCTTCAAGTTGGTTCAATGTCGTCACGCCCCCGACAGGAAGGAAAAGGGAAAATCCTCGATCCTTGAAATGGGAAGGTGCTGGAAAGATATTAGGATGTGACGGAAAGGCGAGATGGGGACTGGCTCTGAGAGAAAACATCGACCTGGAATCGGCGCTTCGTCACTGATGGATCGGCGACTGGCCCCCGATAGCGAAACCGAACTTTCCCGAGAAAGGTGGGGCGCCTAAGCCCCGATCGGCGACAAATCGGCAATTGGGGATCGATGTGCCCCAGGCTGTGTCCACCCCACGCGACCCACCCTGAGGACCCAGTCTTCCAAGAGTATATGACTTCAACAAACGGCGAGCATGTGTATACACATATCCGCTACCGTGCCTCAGGCACTAATTGGAGTGTCGTCAGGCCCGCAGGCGTCCTCAATACAGAATATTTCATCACCGCACGGCTCTGTGAACGAGATGGCGTTCTCTTTGACAAGCAGTTTGCTCGTGGATCCATGAACACTCACCGACGGGGGCTCGGGAGAACACATCGTCTTCCCTCCTCCGTGTTCATTCCTCCTTCCTCCCCCCTCCTCCTCCGTCCTCCTCCCTCTCGCGCGCAATCCCGCCTCCATCCTCTCTCCTCCCTCCCGCCGCCCCCCTCCTCCCTGCGCCCTCTCCCTTCTCCGCCCTCAGGCGGGAAGGTGAAGGAGGGGGAAGAGGAGAAAGACGGGCTCCCAAGGCCCCCCTCGGGGCCCAAATCTCAATCAACACAGCTACCGGGCCTGGCTGGGAGCCGATACCCGACAAGGTCTGGGCCTATCTTGAGCCCGTCGAATCTTGCCGTGGTGGATAACTTCCCTCCCAGAGACCTCCGGCATCGAAACTCTTCAGGGCGCCCCCCACATTCGCACGGATGCCTCGCCCCGTGTCACCTTTTGTGGGTCTTGTGATCCGACACAGGCCTCCCATGGCCAAAATTTTGACAAGCTGGCGGACTTGCCTTCCTGAGGACGCTGGAGGCCCGAGCGAAACCAGCTCACCGCCGCGGAGGAGCCGACTGGCGGCCGTAACTCGCCGCAGGCGTCTTCAATAACCATGTCTACGCTGTACACAGCACCTGGAAGGGCCAGCCATGCGACGTCGGAGACAGAAGGCAGCTGGATCTGGACGGACTCTCGCCTGCGAGATCGATGGCGGACAAGTGGAGGACGCAGAGGGGGAGGGGGAGGGAAGAGGAGGAGGAGGAGGAGGACGACGACGGCGATAGAAAGGGCAACCAAGGAGAGGAGAAGGAGGGGGAGGAGGAGGAGGGGGAGGAGGAGGAGGAGGAGGAGGAGGAGGAGGAGGAGGAGGAGGAGGAGGATGAGGAGGAGGGAGGGAGGAGGGACAATGAGGGGGCTAAGAGTTCGAGGACGAGGTGGAAGAGAGGAGAAGAGAAGACGAGGAAGAAGGAGAACGGAGAAGGGGGGAAGGTTTTTGGATGGTTGCTTGCGTCTTCGACCAATGAATTAATCGAAGTGTCGGCGGTCCTCCTCCTCCTCCTCCTCCTCCTCCTCCTCCTCCTCCTCCTCCTCCTCCTCCTCCTCCTCCTCCTCCTCCTCCTCATCTGCTCATAGCAGTTCTGGGCCCAGACCATGTTGGCAAGGGCCTTGCTTGTGCAAACTTAAGAACGGCACGCCGCACAAGCGAGCCAATCGATCTGCCAAAATCTCTCTGCCGCGATGCCCTAGACCACCCCTCTTCGGACCTGGCAGTACTGCCCGCAACGTGCGAAGACGTGCGCTGCCAAGGGAAAGGAGGACGGCTACGGGCACAGCGGGTGGAACAAATGGGAGCACAGTGAAGGCGGAAGTGATTACGAATCAGACAAAGTGGAAAGGAAGTTTCTGCACCTGCGACAAGAACAAAGCATCCTCCGCAAGCACTGTCGAGCAACGCGAGCAGAGATGGTAGATCAGCACCAACATGAGGACGGAGGCGGCAAGCTAGTATCTGGAGTCGGGGCGGATGGGTTGCTGGGCGAGTCGACCACCAGCCTTACCTCCAGGTCTCCAGCCCGCGCCCCAAAGCGAGAGCCTCAGAGAGAAGGACCTGCTGCAGCTCGCGAGCTCGGCCACACAGAATTGACGGCTCGGCGGCCACACGCAGTGCCAGGTCGTACCGCAGAGGCTCCAGCACAACAAGCGCCAGAGCCGAAGCCCTTGCAGCAGAGGACGGCGCAGGCCCCCCAGCGAATGCCGTGCCAGCGGAGAAAGAGGTGGTCAGCGGAGCTCGAGCAGCTCGAGGAGTGGCGCGTGGCTGGGTCGCCGAGAGAGGGGGGCCAGCGTCCAAGCCCCTCGCCCGAGGAGCTCGACGAGGCAGATGGGGAGCACAGGGCATTCGCTAGCGAGCTGCACAGCAACGCACGCGGATCCAAGGTGTCAGCGCAGCCGCCGCGCAGTGGCTCCATTCGACCCAAGAGGGGGTCCAGCCGAGAGGGGGTGGCGCAAGAGATGTGGGGCAACTTCATTGCAAATGTATTGCGCCAGAGAATTGTACTGAAACTAATGGATTGCACGCGAAAACCCAGCAATACATCTGCGCCCCGGAATGTATTGCACGCCCCAAGTCTATGGCAACCCCACAAATATATTGCACCAAATCTATTGCACCACCCCCTTGTCACTGGACCCCCTTTTTGGTCAACCCGATCCATGGATTATGACATTACTACGTGTCTGCGCGAAATCGCCGATGGCAAGCTCAACAGGACCGAGTTCTCTAACGCTGAGGAGCGCTTCAACGTTTCGGGCACAGAGTGCGGGATCACACATGAGGACTGAGACTCTGTCAATCCCAGAGGGCCGAGGAGTTGCAGGAGGGCATCGTCGGCATCTCTCGCGGCCTATTTGGGGAGGTGCTCGAGAAGATCGACGAGCTCAAGAAGACCCCTGCCGACCACGCGCTGTGCATGCCCGAGGAGAGGCGCAAGACGGAGGACGCGGAGTCTGGCGAAGCAGGAACAGTACCAGGAGCAGGCCAGGAGGGCACCCGCAGGTCGCGCTCGGGAGCTGCGGCATCAGCACCAGCTGCGGCCTCGTCTGCGCCTGAGCCGCCTGCTGCCGCTGCCGCCGCTCCCGCTAACGTGCGAGAGCGCGCGCGAAGCTCTGTCCAAGGGGACCCCCCCTTGCAGCCCACTGGGGGCACCAGTAACTGAACTGAGAGCGGCCGCTGGGGCGTCCTGCGCGGGGGGGATCAGCCCGAACCCTCGAGCACTCTGTTTGAATATGCTGTGCCGCCTGCCGATCCCCGGTTAAGGGCCTCGCAACCTTAGGCGCATGTCTGAGGACCCTCCCCGCGCTCTGGGCCTGAGAAACTTGAGCTCGTCGCACAGACGGCAAACGTCACCTCACGGGGCTTCGCAAAGCCTTGGCTTCAGAAGACTGGGGCCCACGTAGTTTTCTTGCGGGAACGCAAACTGGCCCACAAGGACCAGCTTGATTGACGAGGCCTCGAGTTGGGCCATCAAGAACGGATGGACATCTAGGTGTGTTGCGGCCAACAGTGGCATTGGCTCTGGAACGCCTGGTGGGGTGACGATCTACACTCATCATGGAGTTCTTAGGCTGCTATGATATGAAGGCTGGACATGCTAGAAGCCCTTGGAGGGCCGTGGCGCACTGGGTGCAGTTCCCGAGGGGTGAATCGATTCGCTGCGTCTCGGTAATCTCGGGGACTCCGAGGGCCTCTCCCAGGAGAATATCAAGATGTTGATGTCTGTAGGATCGGCTGTGCAAGCGCAGGCCGCTCCACACGTCGTCGGAGGAGATTTCAGCATGGAGCCGCGCGAGCTTTGCCCCCGCAACTTTGCCAGCAGCCTTGGGAGTCGTTGCATCTACCCAGGGGTGGAAGGCACGTGTGCAACGACAGCTTCAGATGAAGTGCGCGCTTTTGAGCATATATTCATATCGGAAGGTCACTCCAAGTGCATCAAATCGACTAGATTTTATCTGGAGAGCGACGTGAAGACCCACAAGCTGGCACAAGCGAGCAATGTTCCCCGCAGTTGTCCAGCATACAGCCCTTAATGTTTGCCAAGCCTCCACCTCTTCCTGCTGAGGTACCCATGGGGCCCTGCCCTGAAGCTCCGTCTTGAGAGGACGCGCTGGACTGCGCCGAGTACGGGTCAAGCATGGTCAGGCAAGGGGCTCCAACAGGCAAAGTTCGAAGGCATGCGAACTTGGTCTACAAGCTGTGGGCCAAGCTCCGCGAGCAGGGAGTAGCTGACAGCAGGCAAGTCGACTCACCCATTCTTGGAATTAGGGGCCGTCGACCGAAACTCGGACGGAGATCAGCGCTGGGGTCTTGACAAACGGAAGGAGACATTGCAGCCAGAGCTCCTCGCCTTCGGGTGGGTGGAGAGCACGTTTCGCACGCTCGCCTGCTAAGCCCGCGAGCTGCAGGTGAACACTGTCGCCCAGAGCGACGTTGAACGCACAGAGACATATTAGTACTACATGTCCTCCTTGGAGGCGCGCATCCGACCCGAACATCTAGTACACCCATCGTGTAGTATATAGTTTCCCGAGCGGTGTGGCTAGAAAGCGCCCGCCACGACGCATATACTATTAGATGTCTCGGTGCGCGCGTCGCCCCTGGGGGGGGGGCGACGCACACATAGTATCAGTATGCTGGGGTGACGCCGACGACGACCCACGCTTGCCACAATCCGAGCAGTGCATCTTGCAGGGCCCAGCTCGGCAGGGGAGCGGAACGTGCAGGCCAGCTGAAGCGAGAGAGACCATGGCCCGCCTGGCTCTGTCTGCCGCCTCAGCGCAGCACTCCTGCGCACGTTCAGCTTCTAGAGATGTTCGGGGCAGTGTGGCGTCTGGAAGAAGAAAGAAAACACATGAACGTAAACTTTTGGCGCTCCGCGCGGATTTCTTGGACTCGCGCTGGACCCCCCTCCAGCCCAGGCGCGGATCCAAGAAACCCGCGCGGAGCGCCAAAAGTGTATGTGTATCTCTTGTTGTTCGTCTTCGATCGTCGCCGCCAGCCTGCACAGAGAGGTACCTGGGGCGATTTGTCAGGATATCTGTCAAGACGTCTCGGGGTATTTGCGAAAGTTTCTGAGGAGGCGCATGGCGTGGACGACGCAAATGGTTTGTTTGACCTCGAGGCAAGCTGCACGCTGCTACATAAAACCTCTGAGGACATGGGCAAGTACTTCGTGAGGGCCAGGGGGAACTCGCACCAGAATTGGAAAGCTCGGCTCCTGGACGGAAACGACGAGGGCGCTGGAAGCGCACACTCGTGGGCCAGGTCCGAAACCTTGGGCACCGACTACGACCCCGTCCGCCCGGGTGACTGGCCGAGGCTGGCCCGAAGTCCCTGCTAGATGAAGAAGCTGAGAGTGTGTCCCCCTACAGGCGGAGCTTTGAACGAAAAACAAGTACTCGACGCGAAGGTCCCCAGATGTGCACCTCATAGTGATGGCATGCTTCGGTGGAAGACACTGTCCTTTTCAATATCTAGTGTCCGCGAATCCATGTGGAATGCGAAGCCGAGAGAGACGCCGACGACTACGACGACTTTAACCAGGCGGTTCCTCCTTCTTTCCTCCTCCTCCTTGTCCTCCTCCTGTTTCTCGTTCTTTTCCTCTGAACACCTGTCGAGGCAAAGAGGAATGCCGGGGACACCGATTGGGCACCCAAACAGGCAAACCGCCTGAGACATCCCCCCGATCTGGGCGCAAACGGGCCCGTGGGATACCACCTGACGGCCCCCCTTGGGAATGCTGAAACCAGCGCCTCGCCCGAGACATCCTCGGAACCTGCTCCGAAAGAGAAGGATGTTGAGCACCCAAACAGGCAAATCGCCTGAGACATCCCCCCAATCTGGGCGTGAACGGGCCCGTGATGTACACCCTGGCGCCCCCCCTTGAAAGTACTGAAACCAGCGCCTCGCCTGAGACATCCTCGGAAACTGCTCCGATAGAGAAGGATGTTGAGCACCCAAACAGGCAAACCACCTGAGGCACCCCCCCAATCTGGGCACGAACAGGCCCGTGATATACCCCCTGGCGCCCCCCTTTGGGAGTACTAAAACCAGCGCTTCGCCTGAGACATCCTCGGAAACTGCTCCGAAAGAGAAGGATGTTGAGCACCCAAACAGGCAAACCGCCTGAGACACCCCCCCAATCTGGGCACGAACGGGCCTGTGATATACCTACCCCCTGGCGCCCCCCTTTGGGAGTACTGAAACCAGAGCCTCGCCTGAGACGTCCTCGCAACGTGTGTGTGTGTGTATGTGTGTGTGTGAGTCTGAGCGCGGAAGTACCAGGAGTGTGAGTGAGTCTGCATACGAGTGATCCCGAGCATAAGAAACGAATATAAGAGCGAGTGCATCTGAGTATGAGTGCGTCTGAATATAAGTGAGTCTACATGCGAGTGAGTCAGAGAATGATGACCTGAAGGTGGAAGGTGTTCTCTCGTTCTCCGCGCGGTCAAAGTAATAACAAGAACCCCATCCTTAGGATATGGGGAAAAAGAAAATGCCGAAAATGTTCAGAACTAATCAAATTCGTCCCCAGGCTATTTGTGGACTAGTTTTGCATATTCCTCCTGTAGAGGGACATGCCCGCCATAATGCTAAGAAATTCGCGCCCCGTTGGCAGGCGTCGAGTCGGCACAGTCAGAATCCATTATACAAGGACGGGCGGTGAGGGCGCAGGGGGCGCGGCCGCCGAAGGAGCGCTCCGAAGGAAGTCGCCCGCCCCAGGTAGTACCCTGAGGGTCTGCCTACAGAGGAGGCCAGTCCACAAGAAACCTTCCACAAGAAACCCAACCCTGAGACCCCAGGACGTCCATTGATTTTTGGCGCGGGAATGTCGCGCTCTCACCATCGAAACCCAAGAAACCCAGGGCACCCTGGAAGCAAGCAGGGTGTTTCTTGGCATGGGTCCCCACTGTAGTGAAAACAGCGAAGGACGGCTCACAGAGGCAAGGAAGCAAGGGTGCCATAAGGAATGTCGTTAGTCCTTATCATGGATGCTGACTGTAACACCCTTGAGGCCAAGGATAGCACAGAGTATACTCAGCCGCTGGAGTTCCTCAACCCGCAGCACCTCAGAGAAAATTCAAGATCGTATATTCTGGCGTCGACGACGTCGGTGGATGGCTTCCACATGAAACAATTTGCCAGCATGTCAGATGATGTAGCCCTTGATTACCATGATGACGATTATGATGCCGTTATTAGCTAAACCAACTGGAGGATGGAGGCGAATCGGTTTGCTCAGCAGTTGTTGCAGACTCTGGGGAAAGCTCAGGAGACCAGAAGCGTCATCGTGGGAGGTTTCTTTTGGTCGGTCGTACTTGGCGGCATGCCCGTTCGCTGGCGCCTCCGACGTGGCTTGGAGGCAGGCTGCCAAAACTGAAGAGGCCGCGCGAGGCCCAACAGCCAGGCGTAGCAAAATATCACAAATGGGAAGATTAAAAAGCAGGAGGAAACGGTTGCTTGCACTGCGCTGTGGGATCTAGCTGAGTTATCCAAGTCAATCGACCTCATCGAGTTGTCCTGTGGATGTGAAAATCTGGGATGTCCGAAACAGCTGTCGCGAGCAAGTACTGCTTACAAGGGCCAATATTCCTCAGCATGGGAGGGATCTTCCAATGGCCCCATGTTGCTGCCGGTTGCGTCGTGGCAGGGTAGTACTTGACGACTACGTACGTGCGTATATACAGATAGCTATATAAGTACATGTTTGCGTGTATATGTATAGATATAACATATGCATGGGTTTACACATCTTTACCTATATATCTATCTATATATATATATCGATATATCTATATATCGATATATCTATCTATATATATATATCGATCTATCTATCTATATATATATATATATCGATATATATATATATCTATATATATATATATCTATCTATCTATATATATCTATATATCTATATATCTATCTATATATCTATATCTATATGTATATATATATATATGTATATACATATGTCCGCCGGTCCCCTCTGGGGGCGCAAGGCTGCGAAGGTGTGTGCGGTCTGCTGTCATGTGTTATGTGTTGTCATTTGTTGTCTGGCCTTTTGTCTCTCCAGTCCTGTTTCCTGCCTGCTGTTTGCTGTCTGCTAGGGAGCCTCGCCGAGCCACCAGACAGCCAACGGGAGGGGTGAACCTCAAATCCTGGCTGCTCCAGGCCACCCCAAGATTCTCACAGTGACGCCACTGCGCGGCCAGAACGGCCCGAGAGGCCTCCAAGATTGCCCGAAGAGGCTCCGAAGAGAGCCTCAGGAGCCCAAGACGGCCCAAGATGGCCCCAAGATGTCCCACGATGGCTCCAAGACAATCCAAAATGCTGCCAAAACGGCCCAAGAGGCCTGCAAGAGGCCTCCCGAGAGGGCCCCACGATGCAAAAAACGACAATGTTCCCAACGTTTTTGAAAGTTATCGGCCTTCTCGCCTTTTCGGCTTTCCGACGCTCCGAGACGGACCAAGAAGTTCCCAAGATCGCCCCACGACGGCCCTAGAAGCTCACATGACGGCCCAAGAGGCCCCCAAGACGGCCCCAAGACGGCCGAACAGGGCCCCAAGACGGTCCAAGAGGCGCCCCAGACGGCCCAAAAGGGCCCTAAGACGGTCCCTTTCCGCCCCGAGAGAGCCCCAGGAGGCCCCAAAGAGACCCCAGGAGGCCCTCAAGAGGCCCCCAAGAGGCCCCAAGGAGACCCCCAAGAGACCCAAAATATGCCCCACGAGGCTCCAAAACGGCTTCCAAGAAGCTCCAACAATGACCCGCAGACGCTGCCGAGAAGCCTGCCACGAGAAGCACCCACGGCGCTATCCACGCAGCCGCACGCACTGGTATTAGGGGGCCGGCGGCACATGGCGAGGCCCTTCAGATCCGGCCGCTCCCGCCCGGCGGGTTGGGCCGTGCGAGACCTCTCTGACAAGCTACTGTAGACGTCGCACTGCTTGCCACGCTCAAGTATGTCCCCTTCGCGCTCCTGCTCAGGGACGTGCCGCTCGTTTGACCAATCGTGCCATTGATGGAGGCTGCAGTCGTGGTGTTGTTCAGTGGCGTAATGCTTGTCGCGCTGCTCGTGCCACTCGTGAACCTCAGCGTTATGATGTTACGCAGTGTTGGGAGGCTGCGCAGTGACGTGGCGCCCATCACGCGGCCAGCCACGCTCGTCGAATTGTTCCTCTGAGATGCCTACATGTCACACAGTCGCATCGCTCGTAGCTCCCCTGCGCGCTGCTGCACGGGGACGTTGCGCGTGTCGGGCTGGTCATGTTGAGGGACGTGGCGCTCGGCAAGCTGCTCGAGCGTCTCGTGGACATCAGTTTCGATGCTCCGCCCGGGTGGACGAACGAATCGGCGGGGAAGAGGAAGAGGAGGACAAGGAGCGAACTACACAAATCTACGGATAGGGTGGACAGCCGTACTGTGGCTACCAATACTAACGCTGAGCGCCCAGAGCTTGTCAAACACCTAGCCCTACTGCGGAGGCCAGTAAGAGAGCATGTGGACGACTCGGGCTGACACTGAAGCCGTACGGTGCGACTTGTGGGGGGACCCCCGAGGGCTGCCTTGCCTGGAGCGGCAGAGGGGCTGTTCTGAGCATCCTGGGGAGAGGCCTGGGAGACTAGAAAGGGCGTTGGACCTGGACTGGGGGTTGAAGGCCCCAGTCTGGGGAACCCCAGTTGCGCCCCCGTTTCCTTTCCCAAGTTCGATGCATAGTCAGGTGGCAGGGCCAGCATGGAAACACGTTGTCGGTCATTCGAGACTCATGTCCTACATGCCCCTCAGATCCTTCACTGCTCTTCCTGGTGCTGCTTCTCCTCCTCCTCCTCCTCCTCCTCCTCCTCCTCCTCCTCCTCCTCCTCCTCCTCCTCCTGCTCCTGCTCCTGCTCCTGCTCCTGCTCCTCCTCCTCCTCCTCCTCCTCCTCCTCACACTCCTTGCCCTCAATCGGCCTTCTGGCTGCCTCACATCTTTGTTCCTCTGCATGCTCCCACCCTTCCCTGGCCAGAAAAACTCGCCGGGCGATAGCTTCAGGATGGGCCAGTTGGGATTCGCGAGGCAGAAATGATGCATATTACGCACACCAAGCCGACTGCATCGTGTGAGCGTGATAATCCATCCTCCTACTCATCCGCCCCCTCCTCTTCCTGCTGAAAAGAAATTCGAACGATCCACGGCTACTAGGGGGTGCTGTTCCTTGCCGTGGCTTCGAGCACGAACGCAGTATGCCAGCAACAGCCGTCGCTCACAGTTTGGAGAGTATCCAGACCCCTCAAAATCGTTCATCGTTCGAACTGCTCTTCCTTCCCCTGCTCTTCCGACTTGATCCAGCGAGTCCCGAAATGTTAGCCAGTGAACGCATCCGCTGCACATGCACAGCGCCGCATAAGATTCAACCCTTGGTTTCTAAACGTGACAACGGCAAACGGAAACTGCACGAAACAACAAATAGACGCCAACGCAGCCCAAGGGCGCCTGCTTCGAAAGCACACCTCTGAGAAGAGGCCTGCCGAGAAAATCAACTTGCACGTCTCCACGACGAGAACCGCGGCAGCCGGCTCGAAGGAGTAATGGCCACCGTCTCCTCGAAGAGAGTGGGAGGCAAGAATGAGCCGGTTGAGAAAACAATAACAAGACGAGCGTGCACGGCAACCTACGAATGGAGCGAAGATCACACGCGCTCTCAATGCGTTCGGGACCGCGTCTGGGAATCCGGCACAGGTCGGCGACTCCAAGGGGGGAGGGGGTGCAAAGGGTGAGGCTTGCATCCCGCGCCTGGGGGGGGGCGGGCGACGACCTCGACAGAGATATCCGCCCCGCGCCCCGACGAGGGCTCATCAGTCCCTCGGCGCAACGTGGTGACCCGCTAAGCGCTAACGGCACCGATCGCAAACCACGCCATGGAGTAACCACGCCCATTGTAGTCGCCGAACTGGGGGCGGGCGCGACGACCGAGATCGCCCCGGGGCCTCGCACGGTTTTTGCGCCCCCCCCCCACCGCGCTCCTGCCGCTGCGGCCTTGATGGAGAGGTCGATGGAGACCGAGAGCACCACGAAGCAGATGCAGCAGACATGGCCGGGGGGGGCCCTCCGCGGGGGCGTCAACCCCGCCCCCTGGGAACGCGGGCAAGGCCATGCCACGAGGCCCCTGGACCACGGCCCAGGCACTGTGGCGGGAGGGGCCGAGGGCCACTGCATAACCTGCACACCAGCCCCGCAGCCCGCGCCGTGGCTCGCGACGCCGTTCGCAGGCGGACGGGGTGCTCAGGGCGGCCGCGGGCCCGCAAGCGTCTCGTGCACGGCAGCGCCCGCAGACAGGCGGGAGCAGGGCACGGGCGTCGAGCCCTGTCGACTTGCCATCTCAGTAATTCCTGGGCTGGAACGCTTCCTCATCCTTCTCCTCCTCCACGTTTTTCGTCCTCGTCCTCTCCTCCTTATCGTCGTTTCTCGGCGTAGCTCCTCTTCCTCGTCCGTCGTATCCTCCATCACCTCGTCCTCTTCCTTTTCCTCTTCCTCTTCCTCTCTCTCTCTCTCTCTATCTGCGTCTCTCATTTTGTTTCATCTCGTTCACGCTGTCTTGTTCTTTCTCTCTCTAGATCTCTCTCTCTCTCTCTCTTTCTCTCTCTCTCTCTCTCGCGCGCTCTCTCTCTCCCTCTCTCTCTCTCTCCCTCCCTCTCTCAAGTGTTCCCCCAAAGGTTTCCACAACGGCTGGGGGAGCACATAGTTCGATAGCTAAATAAAATGTCGGCAAACCGATTGACCACATTGACGTGTCCCGAAGGCAAGGGGCAGCGTTGGTCCGCCGCAGGCGTCTTCGATACGACGAATCATACTAATAAGCATCGTCATCGAGGTCATCGTGTCTATCGTCCTCATCATCGTCAGAAGCGCCATCTTCCTACCCAGGAGATATGATTTCCCTGGGCCTGCTCGTTGTCCACCTCATCCTCACCATCAGTATTCGTAGTAGTTTTCGTAATCATCCTGCCTGTTCCTCTCCTACGCATGTTCGGTCTATCGAAAGAAGGTCCTACTCCTCCTCCCCCATGTTCATCCTCGTCCTAGGCCTCCTTCTCCTTGTCAGCATCATCATAAGCGCCCTCATCACCATCAATATCATCATCATCATCATCATCATCATCATCATCATCATCATCATCATCAGCAGCAGCAGCAGCAGCAGCAGCAGCATCAGCATCATCATCGTCAGCATCAGCATCAGCATCATCATCATCATCATCAGCAGCAGCATCAGCACCAGGATCATCAGCATCATCTGCATCACAATCATCATCCTCCGCGTCAGCATCAACATCATCATCATCATCGTCAGCATCATCATAATCAGCACCGGCATCACCATCATCATCATCATCACCACCATCACCATCACCAGAATCGTCATAATCGTCATCATAATCGTCATCATCGTCATCATCATCAGTATCAGCATCATAATCGGCATCAGCATCATCATCAGCAGCATCAGCATCATCATCAGCATCAGCAGCAGCATCATCATTATCGCCGTCGGCATTATTATCACCATCAGCAGCAGCAGCATCAGCAGCAGCAACAGTAGCATCATCATCATCATCATCATCATCATCATCATCAGCAGCAGCAGCAGCAGCATCGTCATCATCAGCAGCATCATCGTCAGCATCAGCATCATCAACAGCATCATCAGAAGCAGCATCAGCATCGTCGCCATCAGCATCATCATAAGCATCATCATCATCATCATCATCATCATCATCATCATCAACATCATCATCATCATCATCATCATCATCATCATACGCAGAATAAACATCCTCATCATCATCATCAGCATCATCAGTATCATCATCGTAGTCATCATCAGCAGCAGCATCACCAGCATCATCGTCATCTCCAGCATTATCATTGTCATCGTCACTGTCAGAATCAGCATCAGCATGATCATAATCAGCATCAGCATCATCATCACCATCATCATCACCATCGTCATCAAGATCACCATCATCATCAGCACCATCACAATCCTCATCAGCATCAGCATCAGCATCACTATCATCAGCAGCATCATCGCCAGCATCATCATCAGCATCATCATAAGCATCCTCAGCACGATCATCAGCATCATCAACATCATCGTCATCATCACCATCACCAGCATCGTCATAATCATCATCGTCGACATCATCACCACCACCACCATCAGCATCAACCATCATCATCATCAGCAGCAGTTGTAGCATCAGCATCACCATCATCATCAGCAGTGCCATCATCCCTCTCCTTATGATCCTCCTTATCCTTTTCCTCCTCCTGCACCTTCGCCCCTTTATCCTCCTTCGCCTCCTCCTCCTCTCCCCCTCTTCCTCCTCCTCTTCCTCCTCCCCCTCCTCCTCCTCCTCCTCCCTTCCTTCTCCTCCTCCTCCTTCTCCTCCTCCTCCTTCTCCTTCTCCTCCTCCTCCTCGTTCCCCCCCTCCTCCCGAACAGAGGTTCACATTAGCGGTGTTCCTGCATTGGGCCCCCCCCGGATGGGTCACGCCCAAGCCGCACGCGTGCTCAATGTGAGCCTGGAACCTCGCGTAGACCAGGTACAGCGCCAGGCCCGCCGCCTGCGCGCCCCCCTCTGGAGAGGGGGAGTGGCACCAAGGGGGAAGGACAGGACAGGCGCCGATGTGCGCCCTGGGGGGCGGCCCTCTAAGAGCTCGGCGGGGGCGCCGGAGCGCCGAAACTCAGATGCCGCAGTACATGGTTACTTTAAGATCTCGAGTGTGTACTATTGGCTCCACTGATACACTCCTTCCCATGAGTTTTGAACATGCAGCGGACACAGTCCGCAGTGGCACCAAGGGGAAGAGGAGGCAGGGGATGGGGTGGAGGAAGCGGAGAAGGAGCAGACGGGGAAGAGGAGGACCAGGAGCAGCGGGGGGCAGAGCCGGCGGAGGGGGGAACCCGGCCCAGGTCAACACAGCAGATTTGAAGCTCTCGCTGAAAGCTCCAGCCGCCCGAGTGGGCGGCCGCTCCCCGAAAATCGGACAAAAATCGTGCACGAAAACGCGCCTCACGAGATCGCCCACGAGCCCCCGCGCCCCACCCGAGAAGAGAGAGCACTACAAACATAAACTTCCGGCACGCCGCGCGGATTTCTTGGATCTGCGCTGGACCCCCCTTCCCCGGCGCGCGGAGCGCGCCAGGGGCGGCACTGGAGGCGCCGCCGGGGGGGGGCGGGGGGGGGGGGCCAGCGCAGATCCAAGAAATCCGCGCGGCGTGCCGAAAAATTTGGACTATAGTGCTCTTTCTTCTTCGACACGGAAATGAATCGGATCGGCGGACCTCGGCAGCCAAGTCTGCCAAGTCGGGAGGAGTCGAATCGGCAAAAAGTCGGCAGAGCAGTCACGTCTCGTTGTGAACTTGGGATCCGGAGCCGAAGCGAATCGGCATCGGAAGCCACCGAGGTCGAACCGAATCGAACCGGGGGGAGCGAAACGAGCCCTGCCAGTGCCCCACCCGCCGCCCGCCGTGGTGAGCAGGCCGGCGGCCACGAAGCCCACGATGAGCACCCACGCCGGCGGGCGGTCCTCTCGCAGCGAGTCCCTGGAGCCGCCCGCCGGGCCGGCCTGGCGAGGCGCGGGCGCGGCGCGCGCCCCCCCTGTGGATTCAGGTCGGGCATGTCCCCATCCAGGAGGATTCGGGGCGAAAAACAACAAAGTACATAGTCGGAACGAGATGAAACCTAGTGAAAAGAATCAAACACGAGTTATTTGGGAGTGCTCCTCCCGTAGAGGGACAGGCCCGACTTCACTGTAGATGAGAGGCGGCGTGACGACGTGCTCGATGCTGTCATGTCCACTGCTGCGACAGCCAGTGCCCGAGTGCTGCAGCGGGCCTCGTCCCCCTCACTGCCGGGGCCCGGGAGCTCGGTGGGATGTGTGGTCGTCCCCCCTGGGGTGGGGGGGGGGGGGGCAGGAAGGGAGGGCGTTGCTTCTGCTGCCTGTGCAAGGCCTCTTGAGGGGGGGGGTCGTCGCCACGGCTGGGCTCAGCCCGAAGTCCTGGCAGGGACGTTCTCTTGGGCAGACCCGGGGGGCCGATTCTGAGAAGGTGGGCAGCCAGGAGACGTGAGAGGATGAGGAGTGAGACGGCTTGACCACGCGCTGCGCGAAGAGAACGTGAGCGAGCATCATCGGCCTAGGCGTCGACGTATGAGGTGAGAACACATTGGGCCAAGGGCATCAGAGGCACGCTACATACATATCTATATATATGTACACATATATATATATAGATGTATATGTGTATATCTATATGTGTGTATGTATGTATCCCCAAGCGCCTGCCCTCAAAATCAAGATGGCCCCAAAACGGACCAAGAGGCCCCCAAGAGGCCCCAAGAACGCTCCAAGTCGACCCCAAGAAGGCCCCAAGAGGCAAAACATAATGATGTTATGTTCGGCGTTCTTTGTTTTTGAGGTTCTCGCGTTTTCAAGCTTCCGTCGCTCCAAGACAGCCCAAGAGGCCTCAAACACCGCCCCAAGACAACTCCAGGCCCCCAAGAAGGCTCCAAGACGGCCCAAGAGGGCCAGGAAACGGCCCAAGAGGCGCCCAAGACGGCCTAAGAGGGCACCAGGACAGCCCTAAGAGGGGGAACATGAACCGACGATTTGAGCCTTCCGCCCCAAGAGGCTCCCAGGAAGCCCCACGAGGCCACCGAGAGGCCCCAGGGGGCCCCCAAAAGGTTCCCAAGAGGCCACAAGAGACTCCCAAAAGTCCCAACGGAGGCCCCGAAACGGCCCCCAAAAGCCTTCACAACTGCCTCCAAGAAGCCCCCGAGAAGCTTCCAACGAGATCCCAACGAACCTCCAAAAAGCCTCGGACCCACAACCCAGGCACGGTGGCGGGAAGGCCACCAGATCCGCCGCCCCCTGTTGATTCATCACAGGCGTGCCCGGCGCGCTGAATCCTTTTGCTTTTGGTTTTGGTTCTAAAAAGAACTCCCCCTGGGGCTGCGGCCCAGCCCGCCGGGGTCCCGGAATGGCCCGGAAAGGCCGGTTCCAAAAGGTTTTCCTGCTCCAGATGGCTCCCAGATGGCCCCCTTCTGGCCTCCAAGTTCGCCCAAGATGGTCCAAGATGGCCTCCAAGACGGCCCAAGAGAGTCCAAGATGCTTCCAAGTCCGCCCAAGGAACCTCTAAGACGGCCCAAGACGGCCCAAGAGGTGCTCAGTGCCCAACAGGCCTCCAAGACAGCCCAAGAGGCCTCCGAGAGGTCCTCCAGGAGGGCCCGAAGAGGCGAAAATCATTGGTTTTCCGCAGATGTTTGAACGTTTGTTGTATTTGCTCCTGTTCGGCCTTCCGACGACCCAAGACGGCCCAAGAGGCCCCCAAGATCGCCCCCAGAGCGCCCAAGAGGCCTCCAAGATGGCCTCAGGACTGCCCAAGAGGCCCCCAAGAGGGCACGAAGACGACCCAAGAGGCCTCCAAGACGTCCAAGATGGCCTCTAAGACGGCCCTGGAGCACCCCAAGAGGGCCCCAAGTCGGCCCAGAGAGGCCCCCAAGACGGCTTCCGACGGGCCAGGGGACAGCCAGGATGGCCAAAGTTGGCTCTAAGCTGGCCCAAGACGGCCCAAGAGGCCTCCAAGAGGACCTCCTGGACGCCAGAAGGGGCCAAAATCATTGATTTTCCGTATTTTGACATGTGCTTCTTTTCGGCCTTCCAACGGCCCGCGACGGCCCCAGAGCCCCCCAAGATCGCCCCAAGATCGCCCGAGAGGCCTCCAAGATAGCCCCAGAACGGCCCAAGAGGCCCAAGATGGCCCCAAGAGGCCCCCAAGACGGCCCAGGAGGCCTCTAAGACGCCCAAGATGGCCTCCAAGACGGCCCTGGAGCATTCCAAGAGGGCCCCAAGTAGGCCCAGAGAGGCCCCCCAAACGGCTTCCGACGGCGTCCGACGGGCCAGGGGCCCACCAAGACGGCGAAAATGGCCCTAAGATGGCCCAAGACGGCCCACGAGGCCTCCAAGAGGGCCTCCAGGAAGGCCCGAAAGCCAAACTCATTGACTTTCATTGGGTTTTGGAAGGATTGTGGCATTTGCTTTTTGTTCGGCCTTCCGACGGCCCAAGACGGCCCAAGAGTCCCCAAAGATCGCCCAAGAGACCTCCAGTATGGCCCCGGAACGGCTCAAGAGGCCCCCAAAACGGCCCCAAGAGGCCCCCAAGACAGCCCAAGAGGCCTCCAAGACGTCCAAGATGGTCTCTAAGACGGCCCTGGAGCACCCCAAGAGGGCCACAAGACGGCTCAAGAGGCCCCCAAGAGGGCACGAAGACGACCCAAGAGGCCTCCAAGACGTCCAAGATGGCCTCTAAGACGGCCCTGGAGCACCCCAAGAGGGTCCCAAGTCGGCCCAGAGAGGCCCCCAAGACGGCTTCCGACGGGCCAGGGGACAGCCAGGATGGCCAAAGTTGGCTCTAAGCTGGCCCAAGACGGCCCAAGAGGCCTCCAAGAGGGCCTCCTGGACGCCAGAAGGGGCCAAAATCATTGATTTTCCGCATTTTGACATGTGCTTCTTTTCGACCTTCCAACGGCCCGCGACGGCCCAAGAGCCCCCAAAGATCGCCCCAAGATCGCCCGAGAGGCCTCCAAGATAGCCCCAGAACGGCCCAAGAGGCCCCCAAGATGGCCCCAAGAGGCCCCCAAGACAGCCCAGGAGGCCTCTAAGACGCCCAAGATGGCCTCCAAGACGGCCCTGGAGCATTCCAAGAGGGCCCCAAGTAGGCCCAGAGAGGTCCCCCAAACGGCTTCCGACGGCGTCAGACGGGCCAGGGGCCCACCAAGACGGCGAAGATAGCCCTAAGATGGCCCAAGACGGCCCACGAGGCCTCCAAGAGGGCCTCCAGGAAGGCCCGAAAGCCAAACTCATTGACTGTCATTGGGTTTTGGAAGGATTGTGGCATTTGCTTTTTGTTCGGCCTTCCGACGGCCCAAGACGGCCCAAGAGTCCCCAAAGATCGCCCAAGAGACCTCCAGTATGGCCCCGGAACGGCTCAAGAGGCCCCCAAGACGGCCCCAAGAGGCCCCCAAGACAGCCCAAGAGGCCTCCAAGACGTCCAAGATGGTCTCTAAGACGGCCCTGGAGCACCCCAAGAGGGCCACAAGACGGCCCAGAGAGGCCCCCAAAACGGCTTCCGACGGCGTCAGACGGGCCAGGAGCCCACCAAGACGGCCAAAGAGGCCCCCGAGAAACCTGTAAAGGTCCAAGAGGCTCCCAAGAAGCTCCCATGAGGCCCCAAGAGTATCCCCAAAGGCTCCCGAGTTGCCTATTCCTCCTCCTCCTCCCCCTCCTCCTCCTCCTCCTCCTCCTCCACCTCCTCCTCCGCCTCCTCTTGGTCTTCCCCGCCATCCTCCCCCAAGTGTTCCCCGAAGGGTTTCCACAACGGTTGGGGAAACACATGGCCCGATACCTTGACAGAGCTGTTGCCGCAAGGCTCGGCCACATGGGTGATTCTAGAAGGCGGGGGGCGGCGGTGATTCGCCGTAGGCGTCTTCGATCCGCCGCCCC